GCTCATCGTATCCAGCAGGCACAGAGGTCTGAACGATGATGTCCTGTCGATTGGTTTATTACCTTCCACATGAGAATTAGCTTCTGCTGTTTCCATTCCTTGTAGAATTTCCCTAGTACGAGGCACTGGTTAAGGCTTTCAGAAGGCATTCAGGGAACTCTTTTACCACTATCCCAGGATCACCTTGGGGATTCCGTCAGGTCCCGGTGGCTGTTCTAATCTTAGTCTTCTTCATCACTTGGACTAGTTCGTCCTTCGTGAAGCGATTGGCTTCGTCGAAGTGGTAGTCGAAGGTCTGCTTCTTACCCAGCCTCCTCTGGTGGGAAAAGGTCTCTGATAATTGCCTTCACCATGCTCGGTCTTCCCAGTCCGCAGATGGTGGTGGTTTAAATTTGCCCATAACAATCTTATAAGCTTTTCCCCGGGTCGTTTGTTCACCTCTGTAATAGGGCCTTCCAACATTTTATTTTGCTTTCTTTTTATCTCTGATTTTTAGTCTTTTGCGGGCCGTCTTATAATTTTCCCTTAGTGGAATGTCCGTTTAGCTCTTGTTGCAAGTCTTCGAGCTTTTAACACATGCTTGGCGAAGCTCTGCAATATCCGCTTGTCCACCAGTACACCTGATTTTCCCTCTTGGGCTCCTACGTCTAGGCATTGAAATATCGCACGCATTTTTTGACGGTTTTGCACGTTTCCCGTACTACTTCTTCGAGGGAATCTGTGTTTTCCTTTTCCCCACCCCATGCTCTCCTGTTGTTTTGCTTCTTAGGAAATTTATGGGCATCTGATTCATTCAGCTTTTTGGTGTTCCATGGATGGACCGATGTTTAGCGGACCTCTGTTTTAGCTCTGTATCCAGCTGGTGAAGTGGGAATTCGATGTAGCGATGGTCGCTAAGTGTTTCTGCGTCGAGAACCTGCCAATCCAGGACATTCCTGGCAATCTTTGTAGTAACCTATTGTCAGGTCTATAATCGAAGAAGCAGCGCCCCTTTGAAATGTACACGAGCTCCCTGTGTTTAGAACTACCAGGTCACTTTCTAGCCAGGAATTCGCAGACGTTGTCACCTCTGCGGTCAGATCTGCTTTCGCCCCATTCCGGGACTTGCTGTTAAAGTCTCCTGCCACTATATTTCTCTGGAGCTGAGGTCATGCTTGTCTATAGTTCATCGACTTGTTTCTTAAATTTTCTATTAGATCGTTTTGGTGAGAATAGCAGCTTATATTCTGAGGTTATCTATTTCTACCCATACAAACCCTTGGTTTGTGGCTTTAAATTTAGAGTTCTCATTTTAGAGTTAAGTACTATAATTCCTGCACGTCTGTCGTGTCCTGGTAGTAGGATATGCCGTCAATATCGTGCTGCTCACTGACCAATAAGACATCCACCTGTCTTCTGCCGTTTGAATGAGTAATTCTTGAGAGATCTTCCCTTTGCCTAAATTAATTTGGAGGAACCTAGGCATTCTTCGTTTTGCTAAATTTCCTTAACTCTGCAGTGAAGGAAGGGCATTTATTACTACCCAACGTATGATTGGCCTCAAGATTTTTGTCCTTGCAGACAATGCATTTAACTGATCCTGTGTACGCCTTGGCAGGTGCCCCTTTTTGCCAACTTTGTAGCATACATCACTCCTATCTGCGCCCTTGCAAGAGGTGGAAATATGGCCGAAGTCTAGACATTTAAAACATCTGCGGACCTGGGATTTGACTCTAGCATGACAGGTGACCAGCCAATCACAAAATGCTCTGCTTTGAGCAGAACTTCTGCCTGGCGCGAAGGGAGCAGTACAGTCGCAACCTGTCTGCCTCCGTACACCTTGTATAGTCTGCAGGCTTCCGGGGAAGTCCCAGCAATGCGTGTGACCATTCTCTCACCTCATCTAAGGTAAACAGTTTCGCAATGTTCCTTAATTCGATTAGGTTTCCGGGTTCACCGTGTTAATGTTTACCCTATTTCCTACAGCACGGGTGATTGCTTCGTTTAGGGACGATGGATCACAATCTTTCTCCAGGACTATCAGGAGTTCATTTTTACGTGTCCTCCTGATCGTCTGGATATTGGCGTTGTGTTGCTTCGGGTTCAACGCTTCCTTCATGTTTTTTTTTGGAATCTAGCATATGATTGCCCTTCGTTGGCTGTCACTTTGATGGCTTGAGTGGTGGGTCTTCTGTTCCTTGCCTTTGAGTTTAGATTGCCTTCTTGGAGGAATTCTCTTTTTCTTCGCCGCCTTCCTATATTCGACTCTGCCAGATCTCATTGGTTTTTGGTTAGGTTTATCCGTATCCAGCTCGATGACTTCTTCCTGTTTGTCTTGTCTTATCAGGCTCCTGTCTTCGAGTGGACTTGGAGCTTGTCTCTCCTTTTTCTGGGTTTGCGCTGTTTTCACCGACTTCCCGTTCGTCTGTTTGCCGTGTTTGTTATTCTCGGCTCTTTGTCGGATTTCTCAAGAAGGATTAATTTCTCATACATCGCCCTCTTGATCTTCTTTAATGTTTTGCCATCTGTTACTTAGGGCATCCACTTCTTCAGTGTTTAGCCAAGGTGTTCTTCACTATCCTGGTTTATTTTCAGAATGTTGCCGCTAATGGTAATAATTGACTCTATAGACGGGCGATATCTCGCGTATTGTCTTTCATCAACTTTTGAGTCAACTCCCATCTCTCTATCGTCAGCTGCCCCCCAATACTATTCCCTGCTGTTGTGGGTTCTTCTTGGGACGGGGTTCTCATTTCTCCTGTGGGTGCCCCAGTTGTCGTGGGGTACTTGGAGCGATTTTCGCAATTTCGACTTCCCGGAAAAAGGGGTTAAAACCTGCATGCTCAAGACTTTCTTTTGTCGCAGTGTAATATTTCAGAGGCGCCAAGTGGTCCACGACTCTGAGAATGCAGTCTGCTGGTTGACGACGCCGGGGCCTGCTTGCCCACCCCGGCTGCCGGTACTGGGCTCCGATCCCCTGCACCGTAACGGTTGATCCTAAGGGACCTTCCATGCGGATTTTTTTTCTGGGTCTCCTTCCCATAGCGTTTTTGAGCTGCCGCCAGCTTAAAGGAAACGGGAGAAGAGAAGGGGGCAGTGGAAAAAAGAGTTAGAATAGAAGGGTAAAGTAGAAAACGACTCCCTAGCCCTCGCAAACCTAATAGCGTCGAGGTCAGAAACACAAGAGTTGGCCGATAGGAAGGTTGGCCTATAGGACAGAGAACAGAAGTGTGCCACAAGTAAGTGGAAGTAATGACACACCAAGTTAGAAGTGGGAATTACCGAAGATTTAGGGGAGTGACAGCGGACGCTGCTCCGATTAATCGCCTTCTACGACAGGGGAGGTCCCATGGTGCGATTCTACTAAAACCCCCGACACACACGCGGGTATTTATTATTATTATTATTATTATTATTATTATTATTATTATTATTATTATTATTGATTATTATTACTTTTAAGGTCATGTACTACATTTTTTAAAAATATGGAGTAGTTTCGCATTTTTTTTGAAATTGAAAATTTGAATTTCGCGCAATTTTTTGAAGTCTTCCACTTGAATCAAGGTCATGAAATGTATAGCAGTTCACAAAAATGACAATGGCAATGCCATGACACAACTGTTTGAAATTCTCAGAATTTCTTTTCTTAATAGTCGATCATTCTGGCAGTATTGGATTGACAAATTTGCATTGATGTATAGCTAAAAAAAACAATTTCACAGCTAATGCGCGTTATGTATTTTATATACTACAAAAAAGATCGTGGAGGCAGGAATTTTAGTTTTATTTCGTTACATTAATGAATAAATAAATGAATCAATAAACAAACAAATTAATTAATTAAAGTGCAGGAAATCATTAAACAGTTATCTTCTTCAAAAAATCTTTAATATTTTTTTTTCTTTTTCTTTTTTTTCTTTTGCATACTCTATTTTCATAAATTGCCCACACAACAATTTTGATGGTATATATATTTTTTCCTTACTGTCACATGTGTTAACTAGTGATGCTAAATCAGCACATACTTTCTCACTATTAGAAATGGTTATGTAATACTATTTATTCCATAATTTCTCTACGAATTATTTTTTGTAACACTCATTTGAAATCGTAGAACAGTAGGTGCAAAAAATAAGCAGAATGTGAGAACGTAAAATAATTAAAATTAATAAATAACATGATACTGATAGCATTGGCAAACAAATAGATTGAAAAATATATGATAGTAATTATTAAACATTATGGAATTGTAATATTCTACAAATATACTAAAGGATTCATTCTTATTACTAGGAATGAAAAGTACTATTCTTTATCGCCTTTTATTCTCTGAGTGGCATTACAACAATAGTGCCATAAGACGATTGGAAGTAATAAGTTTTACCCTCTAGAAATTTGACTAATACATTTGACCAATGGTTTAGTCCCTAACATTGTTCACAGAAGTTGAAGGACAGACTTTTGCCTTCAACCAATTTTTCACTACCAAAGATCCACAAAACATGGGTTCCACTACACAATGTGTTAGAGGAAGTAATTTACTTACATATAAGAACAAGAATTATCCATAATATGAATTTTTTTGTTGAAAAATCACCTTTTTTTGCTGAAGGTTTACATGCTTCTAGAAGCAACTTTAGTGAGACCCTTTTATGTATTCCTTCTTTTGAGAGGAAATATCTGCTTTCTTCCTAACAATTAAGATTCAAACCAGAGGAATAAAGTGAATGATTGGAAATTCGAATGGTTCACGCTGAAGTTAGTGGTACAATGAAATATAATTGGAGAAATAAGATAACTATCTGCAAAGTAGTCTTACTTTTATAATTTTATATTGCTTTCCTGACTACTTCTTGCAATTTGGTCTTTCCTATAACTATTCCAGAGTTTTTTGAAAGGACAAATCTATATTCATTCTTTTTTCTTCTTTTCATTTTCATAATATTTCATACAGTATTATATACAGTATTATTACAGATTTATATATTTAATGTAATTAATTAATTATCTTTTGGTAGGTGGTAAAGATTGAGAATCCTGACCCAGGACAATGGAAGGTACATACTGCCAGCGATTCTACTCATTCAGTACGGTCAACAGGCACAAGTCGCATGGACATCAGCTTTGGCTTTTCTGTTGCACCAGTTGCTAACATGCATCAGACATTTTATCGTCCTCTTAACGGTGAGTTGAAAATTCATTGTGTGTTATACTACAAAATAAAACCTAAAAAATGTTCAAGTAAAAACATATTTAATACTGGCTCTTCTAATTGCCATTTAAACTGCCTATATTAAATTATTTCAAGAGAATGAAATAAATATTATTTATCTAAAGATTACACAATGATTCAGGGTGCGATTCAAACTGCCTCATTTTTTATATTTGCAGGTACCAAAAATCACATTTTAATACAAGCTACTGAACACCGGGATCTATACAATTTGACATCTGTAAGACTTGTGAATGTAAATGGCTCAGAAATCATTAATTTTACTCTGTCTCCTGTTGATCCTGAAGATTTGACTGGTGCATATACAGGCGATCCATTTGTTCCTCCAACTGACATTTTCTTTATAGAGGTATGAAAATATTTTGTCTGAATTTTTTCAACTCTTTATCATATCTAATTGAGAAAAAATATAAGTAATTGAAAATATATATGAACAGAAGAAAAATTCTGTGCTTTTGTTCACATCACTATTCAGGTAACTGGAATTGGAAGTGATGGCTTCCCCTTAAAGAGAATGACTCCTACAGCTATAAGTGCCCAAAACCCAGGTATGATCTGTTATTCAAAAATAATGTGGCTCAACTCACCTATTTATGTAGTTAATTGTGACAAAATGGAAATATATGACTGAAAAACAAAATGTTCCAGATGTCCCCATTATAACAATGAAACCAAGGTTAGCCATTCCTGTGGGACAAAGAGGTATAATAACTTGCTATGTTGAATCACTGATACCTTTCAATGTTGTGTGGTTAAAAGATGGTGGCCTAGCACGTGAACTTACTTCATATAAGTAAGATTTAATAAAACTGTTCTTGAAATGCAAACATTTTTATTATTTTATAATGTTTGGTAATGTCATTAATTCTGTGTAAACTTGTTTCAGACAAACAACTGATGTATTTTTACAAATAACAAATATGAGTGAAGCTAATGAAGGATCGTATACGTGCCATGCTATGAATGAAGCAGGCTCAATATCAAAACAAACTAAACTTCGTATGACAGGTATTAGTCATTTCCTTTGTCACATTTTATTGATGTTAAATAAAAGGATTTTTGTAGAGAAATTTAACAAATAACATAAAACATTTCTTCAAAAACTGCTATGTACTAAAAATTAATTTCAATATCTACTACAACATTCATTTTTCAATCACATTGAAATCTGCCGTCAGTATATTTCAGTGAGAATGTATAACATGGGCCAACTGGGACAATGTATAACAAGCCCCTATCTGCTGAAGTAGATTCACTTTTAGAGGAAGCTCTTTGCCATACCCACCAGTTTCTGAATCCAACCAATCTTATGCTTCCTCTATTTCCTACATCTATAAGTAAGGACATAACTTACTTTCATTCAAACAGGATCGATTCAGTATTTGGTGACAATTATTTTCAGTTGCTTGATTCTTCAGAAGTGCTGCGTGTTGTTTGTTCACATTTATTAGACTGACAATATGCAAGAAATGACAACAATAATTGTTCATTAAAATAAAAATGAAAATTAACAAAATAGGAGAAAGTACAGCATTAATAAACATTAATTCCACACTCTCATCCAAATTCAGGGATTGGTCATGAATTTACAATGTTTAGTAGCTGAAATGATTTTCTCAATAGTTGTGTTTCAGTTGCATTATCAGCAAATTAGGCAATTTAATTTGGAACAGTACCAGCAGATGCACAGTAGAGTTGAGGGCATCAAGGATTGTGATGATTAAGAGTCCAGAAGTTTGGCAAATTGCCTTTTTATTACGTTTATGGATTAAAACTTTTAATAGCCTAATAGGTATCACTTAACTATAGGCCCTACATCTGGAGTTGTTTTAGAAGATTGTGATTTTACATATTTTAGCTTCTAATTCCTTTTGTAGTATAATGGTTTATTTTGTCCTTTTTCTTCCTTTTCTGTCATTGTTTTCCTTTTTTCTTCTGACATCAATGTCACTCAAGATTTAAAATTATCTGCAAGTCTGAACATGAACATGAAGGCACTGAAGTGTTTTGTCGTTCTCTGCAAGCAGAGCCATGATATCAGGCAAAAAGTGTTGGAAATTGCCATCAGTAAGCGATATGATACTTAAGAAGATTTTGGATCTTTTATTGATGGGGTGAATGTAATGAATCATGATGAGAAATGAAATATTATTAATGAAATGATGGTTCAGTTGCAGCATTTGAGAAACTGACCCCACCAAACTCTCTAGTCCCAAAACCAAAACCTCAGCCTTTGACTCCATGCGTGATGCTCCACAAGATTGGCACCAAATGTACAAATTCAAATGATGAAAAATACACACGTGATATTTTGCAAATTATCTTCATCAGTCTCTTTTCGTTGTTATAGTAGTTAAAATTGTGTATGCAATTCATACTTTTTCATGTACTTCTTTCTTTCAAAAACATTTAATGAGAGACTTCAAAATGATGCCCCTCACCATTTCTTAGAAAGAACCTTGAACATCACTGTGTTTCACAGGGCCACCACCAGTAGTTTCTTCTAAAGAGAGAATTGTCACAAGTCCAGGTGAAAACGTTGAATTGATATGTGAAGTGGAAAGTGTCCTCAATTACACTGTTTCCTGGTCTCGCTTCTCAGGAAAGAAACGAGATCTTAGAAAAGGTAAGAAAACATTCAACATAATTATGTAAGTACGTGTCAATACTTTGCATGTCTTTAAAATGTATGTGTTCATTTTTAGGTGTATAGAGATGAAAATTAATGTGTAACTTGCATTCTTGTGCATCTTGGATTTTCCATTAAATATAAATACAGTACTAGCCTACAAGAACACAAAATTTTCATTTTAAATTCAAGATGCAACAAAAATACATTATATCATTTAAAGATCAAATTTTGAAAACTAGGTTCCATTCAAAAAAATATCTCTTAGATTCAAAAACGTATCTGTAGGAGAGGGGGCAAAACAATTTGCACTTTTGCAATTTCCAAAAATTCAGGGTCTTTAATAACTATTAAATCTGTACCATATTTATAAATGTATTTTGTTTAAAAATAAATGTTAAGAAAAAATATAGACCCATTTTGGAGAAAATTTTCTTGGTGTTTCGAACACAATGTCCTCCACAACTAAAAGATTTGTTTTGAATTTGCAGGAACCAAGTTCAGACAGATTTATTTGAGTAAATCTTGTGTGCAGTTAATATATTAGTTTTGTACACAGATTAACAGGCAGCAGGTGGCAGACAGGTTATTTTCATCACTTTTTCAGAAACAGAGACCCCCAAAAGTCTATTCCTGACAAAATATCGACATTGATTTTTTGCAGCATTTCGTAACTCGATACTACCTGTATGTTTACATTCTTATTTACATTACTATATATATATATATATATATATATATATATATATATATATATATATATATTATTGTAGAAGTATGTAAAATATGCTGTGTAAAAATGGCTGCCTGAAATTGAAAGTAGGAAGCAAAGATTTCTTACTTTTTTGTACAGGTAGCATTGAAAATAGCCCTTGGTGGCTCGTTGGTTAGTGTGCTCACTTTTTATGGCACACCCTCGGGTTCATTTCTCAGTGGTGGCAAAAATCAATTACGCACATTTCTTGCAATGTCTCAGTATTTGTTGCTGTGTGACAATGAGTAAGCTCACTTCTCAGGTTGAGAAGACCAGAATACAACATAGGGATAGCTATTTGCTGACCACACGTACCCCATAACCATGGCCCAGGATGCTGCTGATAGGCCTTAGCTCGTAAAGAGCTGTTGGGCCAAAGTGCATAAATACGTGCTGTATTGAAAATTTATTCCAAGGGCCATTTAGCAGTGATTGCAGTTAGCTCAATTTATTGTAGACTGGCTGGATAAATTGAAGTTCTTGGGTTTGAATCTTGCCAGTGAAAAAATGCTTTGAATGTGGAGCAACAATCTAACAGACATTTTATATAATTTTGAAATAAGGGGTCGTGTTAGTACTCATTAAAAAAATTAACTCAACTTTTGTTTACACTTCAATAGGAAAACCATGGCCTATAGAAACCAATTCTCATACAAGAGTAGAAAAGAATAAATTGATAATAAATATGGTTAAACCAGATGATGAAGGCTGGTACTCTTGTCTAGTTCAGAGTAGAGGTAAAGTATGACCTTAAGTAAAATTTATATATTTGAAATGTGCATTGTAATAATATCATAATAATTTGTAAATAAATATGAAAAAGATCTTAAATTATGCTTAATTGAGTTAATTAATTTTCATGAAAAGAGTGGTATCACATGTTCTGATTTTAGGAGGAAAAAAGGAAGGGAACACTTATCTTCAAGTGCGTGATCCTGTACGTGTTGTACTGTATCCACCTACAATGTCTTTCCAACAAGGTGAAGAAATAAGTATATCTTGTCGAGCATCTGGTACACCAATTCCAAAATTAGAGTGGAGAAAGAGTGGAAATGTCCTAGAGGTTTGTGAAGAAGTTTAATTCATGAGAATTATGTTTCTTGTAAGAGTTGCTTAATTCTTTCCTCATTATAGTGTAGAGTGTTAAGTCAATCAAATTTATTTCAGGTTTCTTTCTAAGATCTCTTAAGTAGATTAATACAACAGCATCTTATTATTATTAACCCCCAATTTTCCCTTTTCTACTTGTTCTTCTTCACATATATTTGAACTTATAATTAAAAATAATGCTCTTCCCATTCACACAACTTTTTCTGGTGTTTTCCATTGCTCTGATTATGTTCCATATTGTCATTTATTATCTTCTTTATCACTCAAAAAATTAAAAGAATCCATTTGTAAACAAATTTGAAAAAACTGAAAACTCAAAATTTGGAATTTTCATCCAAAGGAAGTGCTATAAAAATGCAATTAAATAGCAAAGCTTACAGCATTTAATGACTATCCACTATTGCTCCCTGTGACCATAGCGTCTTCGGTATCATTTATTGAGCGCCCACACTAATATAATAGAGGAGTTGCCTTTGTAGTGAACACATTATGGCTATGGATGCTCTGTCTCTAATCAGTTATTCTTCGTGAAATGCATAATTTCACCTGAGAGTTGTTGGTGGGGATGGGGGCAAGTGATTCTCAATATTTTCAAGAACATTCAATAATTTATTTATTTTGGTTTTGTATTTTGTTTGTTTGTTTTTTTGTTTCGCAAATCGGCCATCATGGGGCCATGCAATACATGCATCCCAATGGGGCTCAGTCTTGAGTATCAGGGTAGGTACATTTTCTCATTGGGGATCAGCATTTTAACGCTGATTCATTTTTAATAATCAGGGTAGTTAACCCTGGGGGATGAGGTGAAATTGTGATGATGATGAATGATGAAATAGGCACACAGAAACATACAGAGACACACAACACAACCATGCCCAAGGAGGGACTTCAACCCACAATCCTTGGCAGCAATCCTTTGATCAGAGGCTGCCACTACACTAGTGTCTTAACAATCTCAGACATCGTTGTCTGAACAATCTCGGACATCGGTTCGGCTAATAATATTCTTATAATTTGTTTTTATTAAAGAAACATTCAGTACAACATATTATAACACTATCATTTATTCTTATTGAAAACGGTTTGCAATGAAGTGCATTCTTTGATTCCACTGATACCTGAGTCTGGGACATTCTGTTATCCAGACAGATTTTCTGTCTGAGCTATCAAACATTGTATTCATGATAATACTGTTTGATTCCATAGCTCATATGGTTAAAGCATCTGCCTAGATAACAGAAGGTTCTGATCTCAAATCCAGTGGAGTCAAATGTTGCACTTCATGGCAATCCATTTTCGGAATGAATTTATGGTGCATTTGCACTATTTTACCATCTTGGCAAAGTGTTAGTTTTCAAAATTTATATCAATATATTACCAAGTTCATGGGTAGCTGTAACATTACTTCTTTTTCTACATAAACATTGTTAACTTCAATAAATCAATAAAAGAAATTGTCATGGCTTAAACGTAGCAACAGATTCACTATATTCGAAGCCCCAAGGTAAAGTATTTTTGAGGCCCCCTTTTTACTGTCAATAAAAACCTTTTTGCAGTTGGAAATTTTAACCTTTTTATTCAAAATTAATTAAACAATTAAAACATTCCCTCAAATAATAATTTTATTCAAATTTTAGATTTAAAAATTGATAAAAATTGTTAATACATAAAATTATACTAACTATAAATTTGTGTATTTTCATAAAAGGTTTTAGCAAATTTGCCATTTTCTTAATATTTTTTTAGGTTCCTTGGACTCTGAAGCCCTAAGCTGTAACTAATTTAACTTAACAATAAATCTGTCTCTGTTTAAACACATTTCCTTTGATACCCCCTCCCTCCCATCCCTCTTTTTATGTGCCAGAGACCCCATGCAATAACACATTGTGAAATGCACTAATGAAAATGAGCAATTAGGGTTGAGTTTGAGAATCAAGTTCTAAGGGCTTTTTCTAAGTGAGGGTTTTCGCTATAGACGAGCAGCCTTGCAGTGTTAAGGTGTAAAGAAGATGAGTAGATGAAAAACTTTTAAAGTAGGGACAATCATAAAAAAGGATCTAAGGGCTGTCAAGGCTTAATAATTTACCTCCTTGAACAAGGATGGTACAAAAAATGAAACTTGTATCTAGCATTCATAGACTATCAAAAGTTTTCAATTCCTCTGAAAGAATCATTGAATGAAAATGAAGTTATACTAAATATCCACTATATACCACAAAATCCACATTTGGGGTCAATTGCTCTTTTATGGAGAAATATCCATGTTTAGAGCTTTGTTCAGTTTTCTTCCCTGAGTGTCCCAAGCTATACATATAAATATAGTACATAAGGCATCAATATCTTTGTATCCACAAAATTAAATGTCTTCTGTTTAACCAGAGTTTGAGATGCAGTATCATCTGATGATCACCTTCCTTTGTCTAATGTTTCTATCCCACCCTCTTGCCATTCTGCCAGGAGATACATCTGTGCAGTCTTCTTGTTGCAATCTTTCAACCTACGCAGAAGTCCAACACAAATGGGGTTAGTTCTTCACTTTGTCAAAGACTGCCTTCCTATTACCAACATATCAATAGTGGTACACAATTCAGAACCCTTTCTGGGCAGACAGAGACCATGGAATAAGTGTCAGCTTTATACTTAATGATTTGCACATACAGTAAAATTTGTCTAAACCGGAACCTGTGCAAGCCAGAAACCTGCCTTAACCAGGAAATTTCTCTGGCCTGAGAGGTTAAATGGCATTTTACACAGCATAAAACAGAACCTTTCCAATGTAGAAATGGAATGTTTTTTCTTGCAGGAGGCAGAAATCTTCATGAAATGGAATTCCTGTGAATTTAATGAAATAGGCAGAGAGATGTGAGATGTTCTTAATGAATTAATGAATCTGATACCTTGTTTTAAATTTTCTATTCCTGGGACATGCAATTTAGTCACAGCAGCCAGACACTGAAAGAGAGTCAGCATAGAATTCAACCTTGGTGTTGCTTGTTTCTCAAGGCATAGGTCGTAGGGGAATTCCCTCTCTCCCCACTCTTTGAGTGTGGGAAGGTGTATGGGCATGTCTCCTATTCATGTGTCTCCCTACCCTGCATTGAAAATTATAACCCCTCCACCACCGCATTGTTGAAGGTCATGCAGGGATATCAGACAGTCATAGTTCTGGGTTGTGACGCATTATGCATTAAAAGATCCAACAGGCAGTCCGAATACTGCAAGTAAGGTGCGCATTTTTTAACTTAGTAACTATCAATGGAGGGTGTTTAATATTAAATTAGTGCTGATTTCTTCCACAAATATGTTATATGTTAATGCATTTTGATAATTATTATAAAGTCACGTTATTTACTACTTTCAAAGCAGAAATGTCAATATCACAAGTGTCATAAATGTACAACCTTGCATAAACTGAAAACCTCCCTAAACTGGAATTCTTTTGTGTCCCAATTGATTCCAGCTTAGACACTTATACTGTACTTCAATCTCATGCAAGCTTTCCCACGTCTATCAGCCCACATCAGTCAGTTTGCAGTCTATCCCAATCAAGTTGTCTTTTCTAACTGATGTCCACATCCCTGAGGCTAATGTTTGGGGAACAGAATACTCTCTGGTCCATAAGTAACATTGCTTCAGTTTTCCCCTCAGGATGTAGGAATCCCCTGTGAAGCCCCCTTTTCACCTTAAGGGGTATTCCCTTTTCACCACCAAAAGGGTTTCATTTACTTTCATCTTCAGCGAGTCAAAATTATTGCTATGGCAGATTATGAGAGTATCATCTGCAAACCCAGTTAGTTAGGTATCTGATAGGGTGTCATATATGTAACTTATTGTTGAAAATGAAAATTATGATTGTTGTAATATCATTACAATTAATTATGCATTCTATGCAGGATGGTGATGAAGAAGGTCGGATTAGTATTACTAGTGAATTGGGTGAAACAGAAATTGTAGTGAAAGATGCTGATCAGTCTGATGAAGGCCATTATGAATGTTTTGCTGATAATGGCATTGATACAGGTAAGGGAATTTTGTGAATAGGTTAATTGTAATTTAAAATGCCTGGTAGAAAATTTCCCCTTTCCTAATTATTTATCATTTCAGATCATCAAGAATCTGTGATGGTTTATGTTGAACTACCATCAATAACAGCAAGCTACAATAAACATCAAGCTGCTCTGGGTGAAACAGTAGTTTTTCAGTGTGAAAAAACTGGTGTTCCAACTCCTATATTAAAATGGTACAAAGATGGAGAAGAAATTCTGACAGGAAATAATAAGGTGATTTGAAAAATTTCTTTTGGAATAAAACTGCTTTCCTTAGCCTGTCAGAATATATGTAACATAAAACTCTCAACACCAACAAAACTTGCAATAATCTAATCTAGTCAGAATTCTTGAAACTATTATTTACAAAATATAAGAGAAAATCCTAATATTAAAATATTTTAAATAAATGTGATTTCATTTATTTATCTTGCTTTGAAGGGTAATTTTAATTTGGTTGTGGACAAAAACATGCTTAAGGATATGTTTTTATACCAATTAATTTATTTATGTCAATAAACGTTTCTGGTCTGTTTCTGATGTTTAGGGGGTGAGGGGGAGGATAAAAGATACATTTAAATGTTCAGAGGCAAGGCAAGGGGCCATCTTAGCATGGGGTCTTGAAATCAGGGAATTGCATTGAATTTTCAACAAGATTATTTTAATAATTTCACAAATAGAAAAAAATAGAATTCACTCTGACAAGAGTGCAAATTTTACAATTTTTAAAAATGATTTGTATTTCTACAGGAGATTATAGAAGATATCTTGACAATTTCTAATGTGCGAGATGAAGATGCTGGCACATACACTTGTGAAGCTAGTAATACTGTTGGATCAAATGAAGACAATATTGTATTAGATGTTGGCACATTTCCACATATTATTCAACCACCAACAGGTACTTCTTATATAAGGAGCATCTCTTTATTATTTTTACAATAATTTAATAATGTTTGTTGTATAGATTAAATTTTCAGGACCTAAATGAGTAGAATTTAAACCCTGGGACCTAATTATTGAAGAAAAACAATGTATGGAATTTGTTTGTTTTAAATTGGTATTTTTTCATAGATGAAGCAGTAGACATCAACCGGAACATTTCCCTACCCTGTGTGGCAATTGGGCATCCTTCTCCTACTGTTTCATGGCAGCGAAAGTACCAAGAGCCTCTCCCAAGTGGGCGATATCAAATCTCCACATCTGGAACTCTGCATATTTTCAGTAAACTGAATTAAAAATTTATTTTTTACATACTTATATTTTGTTATTTTTAATAAATTCACTTGTTCAATTTTACCACCAGATGTTCAAGTGGAAGATGCTGGAATATACATTTGTAGAGTGGAGAATAATTTTGGTGGAATTGAAAAAGAGGCAAAAATTAAAGTAACTGGAATCGGTAAGAAAATTAGTTTTCTTTAACATTACTAAACAATTTCTTTGTATTGGATTATTTTTACAGTTACACAATTTTGGTAAGTTATCACATAATTTTCTCAATTTTTCTCATACCACATTAGTTTTTTTAATCATTTTTCAAATACTATCTCTTTTTAAACTAATCACTTATTCAATGAAACAACTGCGTTATTTGTAGTTTAAAAACTTCAATATTACAAAAGGAATTACAAATAAAATTTAACATTATATTGACTTGCATATATTACCTAAAGGAAAAAAAATTGTATTGTGAATATAAGTGTATTCTTAAAATCTCTCACAGAGAAGCCAGTGGTTGATAGAGCTGATGTTCATGGTCGTGTAATTGAGAAATCTCAAGGAACTAGTTTGGAATTACCATGTCGTATTCTAATGGGTAATCCAGAGCCAGAACGTACTTGGTTCAAAGATGGTATGGAAATAGATCAACAAGTCATGACAGAAGATGGTTATATCTTGCATATCAATGGTTCATTAATAGTTCCTTATATGACATTCAAGCACGAAGGTACCTACGAATGTGTTGTGCGAAAAAACCCCAATTGGAGGGGGGGATCTGTCACCAAGGAAACAATTGTACGTATTGTAGGTAAGTAAAAAGACATATTTTGATAATGTCTGAATAACACTAATTAGTTTCATTTAACTCCCACTATCATTTTATCATATAAAAGTTATAAAATCGTGAAAAAAAATAATTTTTTTTCAGAGTCCCCGTTTCCCAAACAAAGTTTCCCCTGAACAACATGCTTTGGTGGGAGAAGATGTACAGTTGCAATGTGATGTGCAAGGAGAGCCCAAACCTTTAGTGACATGGGAAAAGGATGGATTGTTATTAATTCCAAGTCGTAGAATGTAAAATATCAACATTGTATGATGTAATTTGATGATAATAATTATGAAATGAAATAATCTGTAACTAGTATTGGTCTATATGTTACAGAGTAAAGGAAAATGATGACAGCCTAACTATCAGAGTTGCTGGTTTAAGTGATAAAGGAATATACACTTGTATTGCAACTAACACTGCAGGAACATCTCGACGATCAATGTTTTTATCAATGCAATGTAAGAAATATTCCCCAGTATTTTTCAATATTTTATGTTCCATTTAGTGTTCATATTTCATGATACATAACCTAGTGTTAAATTTCATTAGGTAGATACAATTTTTACATACAAATAGTAACTTAATGAATTTAAAAAGTATTTTCTTTAAATAGAAATTTTGAAGTCATTTCTTCCAAAATTCAAACAAAAAAGTACATTTAACTTCTCTGATTTATGAAAATAATTTACTCTTACATAAAGTAATACTTTTTGGCAGCTCCTCCAAAGATTTCCTCTGGACCCAGTGAATTACATGCTGTGGAAGGACAATTATTGACAATAAAATGTGAAGTTACTGCTGAGCCGGCAGCACATTTTTCATGGTGGAGGAACGGGAAACCTTTAAACAGTAGCATTCAAGATATCCAGTATCTTCATCAAAATTCCAGCATTAGGCAGGTGGCAGATTTTCTTGTAAATAAAAACATTCATATATTTCTATTGAATATGTAATGGGCCATGTTTTCAAATAATTTTTTCAAGTACTGCTTTTTATAGATTTGTTGCCACTGTCCATGCTCAAGGCAAATATACTTGTGTTGCAACTAATCCTGCAGGAAAGGCATCAAAAGATATGCAGGTATCTGTAATGGGTAAGTCAGTAATTTGTTAACTATTTGAGTTGAATGATATGATAAAAAAATAAGTTCTATTCTACTTTTCTTGTGGTCTTTATCTGATAAAAAATTACTCACCCAATGTTTTATTAAAATTAATTTTACAATCGAAACAGAATTGTATTGAGTACATAATAAATACAATGACATTGCGTACAGTGTTACTTATGATACTTTAATGATTTACGATTCTTAGTGCAGTGAAATTGAGACTGAGTCAAATTTCTCAATTCAAGTTCATTTATTTTTTGTTAATGTTTATCACTAACCATGTTAATAACAATTTTAAGCCGTGCTGGGTTTTTTTTGACAGTGCCTCCAAATATATATCCACCTTATGAGGAGCAAATAGCTGCAGCATTAGGAGAAAAAGTGACATTGGATTGTCAGGTATATGGGTCACCACCTCCTCAGGTGTATTGGCAGAAAGATGGGATAGATTTGAATGATGGCACAGATATTCAGTGAGTGAATTTTGATAATTTTCTCAGTGTTGTTATCACTAAATTTTCGTAAAGGTTAATTTTTATCCTTTTTCTACAGAATTGGCAAAGATGGAACATTAACCATTCTAAATATAACAAGTGAATCTGGAGGAGTTTACATTTGTGATGCAGAAAATGATGTTGGAATTTCACAGAAACTCTTTTATTTTTCTGTGAATGGTATGTATATCCCCTTATTAAGTAAAGCCATCAATTTTGTTACTTTCATTTGTTTTCTCATTTATTCCAAGTATAGTTACAAATAATTTGACCCAGGTACTAAAATCAAATTTAGATCCACAAAACACTTTGAAATGAGATTTCATTAGTGAAGAAAAGCATTATAATAAAAGATGAGCTGCCTTCAATAAGAAGAGGTGATTCTTAAAATATCAATTAGGAAGTTACCAATAGATGAAGTGAAAGTGAAATAATTTCTATTTCAATTCATAAATGCATAAATTTATTTTATCTATTAATGAAATTTATCTTCAGATGTCCCTTTTGTCCCCAGATGAGTATGTTGTATGCTGAATTTAGTATATAACTCATCATATGTTATTGAATTACCTTCATCACTTTTCTTATTTTCTTTCGTATTATTAAGAATATAACAATAAAGCACATATGAAGTGAGATTTATAAGTCTACAAGATGGAAAGATATGAATGGTGTATATGAGTCAAATTTTCTATATTTGTTTTATTATAGTTTAAATACATTTCTTTAATCAGAGTAGAAAGTTGTGAAACCCTAGTATATTTCTAATTTGGTTGTCTAACAGTGCCTCCAAAAATTCTTGAAGCATCAGCTACAAAAGTGCAACTAATGGAAGGAGAAGATTTCTTCCTGCCATGCACTGCATCTGGGTATCCATTCCCTGAAATTCATTGGCATAAAGATGGTCGTGACATTATTGCTCTTGACAGTGGTAAGTGGTTGTTTTTTTCAAAAACAAATACTACAATCATTACAAGCATTATAACAATTCAGATAAATATTATTTTTTTAAAATTTGATTTGCTATATTAATGTTTTGAACAATATTCTCATTTTATTTCACTATAATCAATTATTATAATTGTGATACATTGTGATAATTGAGACCTAGATTATTTGATACCAAGTGATAATGTGATTATTGAGTCTCTTACCTTGTGATAATGTGTAATTATAAAATGTATAATTAATAAATAAATAAATAAATATGAAAAATCTTATTATCATAACCAAAAGAATAAAAAAATTGACAATAATCAGCAGTAAAATAAACACATGTTAAGACAACAAAGAGTAATTGGGGAGCTATTTCATTCTAACAAGAGTGAAATTTTGTCTTGTCATAATTGGATTCAAAATGCCATTAACAATCATTAAATCTGGCAATTCTAAGGTACCATTAAGACTTTTAAAAACTGAACTTAGCTAGTATTTGTATTTGATTGTGCATGTATATGTAGTGGCTGAGTTTCTGTATATAAGATTTATTTGATTTATAAATGAGTAAGAACTAAATTTGTGGAAACATTACATATGAATTGTGAGTATATGATATCTTCTCTGTGTTTTCATGTACAAAGTATAAAATTTTTAGGTTTCTGTTTAAAATACAAGTTATAATAGTGTTCTTTCTACACGCTCTTTTCAGATGATCTAACAGTTCATAACGATGGTACTCTAATGCTACATTCTGTCAACCAAGAGCATTCTGGATTATATGTCTGTGTGGCTGAGAACAAACACGGCTCTGATCATCGGAATTATATTGTAAATGTTTTAGGTAATTTGAAAAACCAAATAGCAAAATTTGAATTGTCAGTGAAGGTATGCATCAGCAACAATATTGGATTTTGTTTCTAGTTCCACCATCTATGATTCAAGCTGAAGAATCTGAACTTGAAGTGAAAGAGGGAGAATCTTTAGTAATTGCATGTCCTGCAATGGATGCTGTCCCTCCGCCACAAATTGAATGGTTGAAGGTAAGCATTGACTTAAAAGTTAAGCATACTGTCAGTAAAGAATTGTCATTGCCAATGTAATGCTTATTTTAAAATTTACTTATTATTATTTATTTAATTTCACTTTACAACAGCTCTGATCATGAGAGACCACTGAAATTTACATTGGTTTATATTAATTTACAATTATTAATCACAATACAATTTTTTTTCCAAGTATAAAACAGAAATATTAAATCACGTCTATATGAAATTTCTTCAATGAATGAGAAATACAATAAAACTGCAAACTTTTTAAATTGGTACACAAATTACATTTTTTTAAAATTTATTATTATACAGATAGTGAAGAAAACAACAAAAGCCTGTGGTACTTATATTAATGAGTTAAACCTAGTTAATTGTGATAATCTTAGAATTTTGAACTTCGTGCTTTTGCTTTCGGTCACTTGTCAGAAGTTGTCGTAAAAGTGACTATGAATTAACATAATTCATAGGTTTCAAAAGTCTTAAACTAGAACTGACTTTAAGTCATCATTTTAACTCAATGTTGATAGTGAAGGATTGTCTAAGTTTTTTTTATTATGTATCTAATCAAACCATGGATTTATTTACTATGAATATTTAAGGGGTTCATATACTCTTGAGTCCTCCCTGGGGGAAAAACTTTATCTCTCTTGCATATAGTTGTTACTCTCATCCTATTTATTAATAAATAATATTTGTTAATAAATAATACTTACTCTTTACAATGCATTTTTTGCTATTTCAAACTTTTCAGTATTTTTCCATTTCAATCATTATCATCATCATCAAGGTATAAACCATTTTGGGGATTTTACATGTTTTGTTCTTGAGATTGATATTATGTGTTTTGTTCTTGCCTAAATCTTTCTAAATTTAGGCTTCCATATACACCTCCTACCAAGTTCATTGGGGAATTAAAACCGTAACATACTGTATTGTACTAGGTGGCCCAAGCAAAAATTTTTCCACTTTGTAAATCTTTATTTTAAAAGTGAAAATAGTTTCATACTGGTACCTAATTTCTAATGTTTGGGTCTATCCAGGCTACAAAGTGGGGGTTTCCTTTAAAAATTAAATAGAAAGTCCGTAAAGGTTTTGTGCAGTATATTATGGCATAAGAAATATACAAAAATCTTGTTTTAAAGACAAAAAAAGAAGAATTTTTTAATTATAATCAATGGTAAAATGTTTTGCAACAACACGTCAGTTGAGGGTTGCTTGAATATCTTTTCTTCCTAAACCATAATCTTCAAACTTATTTTTTAATTTTAATTTTTTTAATATGTAAATTTTGACACATGTTAAATGTATACTAACTCCAATTACAGGATGGGCGTCAGGTAGATTCCCACTCAAGAAAACACTCTCTTATGGACAATGGCCGAGCATTGAAAATTATTGAAGCTCATCCTTCAGACAGGGGTACATACTGGTGTGTGGCTTCAAATCTTGCAGGACAGAGCTCAGCATCATTCAATGTTGATGTTTTAACTGCCCCAAGTTTTTCAGAAAACAAAAATATCAATCATTTGGAAAATCATAATTATGAAGTAATTGTCGGAAAACCCATTACTCTTAGATGTGCTGTTAATGGCCATCCAACTCCAAGAGTAAGTACATTACAATTAAGTCTAATGATTTATTGTTTTAAAAGACAAAAATATTTAAATCAAAATAAAATAAAATATTAACTCTGGAATTGAAGGTCACTTGGAAAAAGAACAATCACCCAATAACAGCTCATACTTCTCCTGGTGTGGTACTATCAGGAGACAAGCAAATTCTTCACATTCCTAACATACATCAACATGATGCTGGACATTATCAATGTTCTGTGACCAATAAAGTTGGAAGCTCTAATCGAGATTTTAAATTAACTGTATTAAGTAAGTACATTAGAAAAAATTAATACCTATCACACCTTGAAACATCACACACAAAACTTGAACATAAATGTTTGTTTGCAGAACCACCAGGTTTAGTTGGGCCAAAGCATAAGAACCTAACAGTGATATCAGGTTCTAATGTATTGCTCCATTGTCCATTTATTGGATTGCCTGAACCTTCAATATCCTGGATGAAAGATGAGATGGAATCACACATAATGTAAGCCAAAATATTCACAACTTACTAACATTAACCTGTTGTAACATGTTTAAAATTCTTATCGTGTTTAAATATTTTATTACAACTATATTTTTTATAGTGCCAACTTATTTTAGGAAATGAACAATGGTAATAATTATCTCAGGACCAAAATACTGGACAATATCTTCCAGTAAAGACTACAGACCACTGGAATATATGTGTGTGATGCTAACAACAAAGCTGGTCATGAACAAAGGATATTCCATATTTCTGTTTTAGGTTTGTTTTTCCAGTGTTACAAATTTTTGTTCTATTTTATAGAAAATTGATGATCAATGAAATTTCATAGTTGAAGATAAAATAACAGATAATATAGTAATAAGACAAAGATTATAAGTAATAGTCCTAAAATATTTCACATCATGTATTATTGATTATGTACAAATTATTAAGTGAATTTAGCTGTGATTTTTTGAACATGTATTTAATGTACATACTTCAAGAGTTTTAAAGAATATGTGTATTGTTTTTAGAGGCACCAAGTATTTTACAACAATCTACTCTAGATGAAGTATCAGCATCTGAAGGTGATTCAATAGTGTTGCACTGTTGGGTTCAAGGAACTCCACATCCACAAGTAATGTGGATGCATAATGGTCACATGCTCCCCCAACTTCATGGGAAGGAAAATGAAACATTCGATAGCAAAAAAGAACTCAAGCTAAAAAATGTGCAGACTTCACAAGCTGGACAGTATACTTGTTTAGCTTCTAATGAAGCTGGTGTTGCAGAAAAGAGTTTCCATCTCCATGTTATGGGTGAGTTTATTACGCAAAGAAGTCATCTAGGCAAAGAACACTGCATGTGATGTTTATGAAGGTAAAGTTACGTGTACTTCCCAGAAGCAAACAAAGCACCATCTCAACATTCACTGTCAGGATTGCTGAAAAATTGATCAAAATCATGATTTAGATGGTCCTGCATCCGGGGGCAATTAAAATTCTCAACATTTTAATCACATTATTGTTTTGAAATGTTGAAATAAATTGTTTAAAAAATACATTATGAAAACAATAAATTATGTTCGTGATTTAAAAAATAATACAATAATAATGTACTTAATTCACAAAATACAGCAGAAATTATTATATTTTTTGTTCATCTTCCTTACTCTCATGGCCAAAATTAGTGCAAAGCGAAACTAAAATGTTTTGGTTTAAATTTAGTGTAATGGTAAAAGAACAGGTATTTAGTAGAAAGTCAAATAAATAGTTATTAATTATAATTATTCTCTCTTCCTCCCAGCCTCTATCTTCCTTTCTTTCTCTCCTCTTCTGATAAATTTCAAAATTTTTCTAAAATAATATTTGTAAAGGATGGAGATCCTAACTCAAATGGGTCTCCCTCCTAAAGTACTGTCTGGATACATCCTTGAAGAGTGTGATTCTGTAATTGCATACAATCAAATCATTTCCATCAGTTTATTTAAAGTTTTCTTTATATCATTGTTTTGTGTTCAGTACTACAATACTTAATACATTTCTAGTTGTACTGATTTTATTATTCCAGTGGCACCAAAAATGATGCAACAAAATGAGGAATCCACAAATGAAGTAGATAACAAAGATAAGCCTGAATATCTTGAAAAAATTAAGGGAATGCCAATTATATTACACTGTCCTGTCGAAGGGAAACCTTTGCCAGAAGTGCATTGGGTTAAGGACACTTCTGAATCCAGTGTCATTGGATCTGGACCAATATTACAAATCACCAACAGCCAACATTATCACTCTGGAAATTATACTTGCATTGCCCACAATGAAGCTGGAGTTGCTACAAAAACATTTGAAGTTCTTGTTCATGGTATAATCCTTTGGCTTTAGGGTTCATCTTTGTTTATTAATATTGTAATTTACTTTTCTATTACAATTACAAAATGTATTCACTTGTTTCAGAGCCACCATTGATTAATGCCAGTGAGCCAAATTTAAAAATTAAAGCTGGAGACAAACTTACTCTACACTGTGCAGTGTCAGGATTTCCTTCTCCTGAAATAATGTGGTTCAAGGGGGCTTCATCAATTACCCCTGATCGATGGTCTCATGCGACGTTTTTGAATAATAACTCCACACTAGTAAGTGGATATTTATTTTTATATTATTTTATTCAAACATCTACCAGAAGAAGAAATTGTTTGACATTTTTAAGAGTCCTAAACATCACCAATTTAGGGAGTCCCCTGAAAATTTTGAATATGTGCAATAAAAATTAATATGAACACAATTTTCAGCCAAAGTGATCCTTTCATCCTCAAATGTTATGGAACTTTTATTCACTGCGCATGTTAGAAATTGATGAGAGAAGTGAATTATACAGTACTATTACTGTTTCTACCATTGTCTGAGAATCCTGTAAATGCACATTGACTTTCAATTGATATTGAATTCAACTAAAATGCTGTTACAAAACAAACTATTATAGTTGTTTTGAGTCACTTATGTTTATCAAGATTTTTTCTGCATTTCCACGGATATGTCCTTCTTTTGATCGTCATCAGAAGAAATCTCTTCAACCAGAGTCATCATGTGTTTATAACTTCAATATAGAGCTTGATTTGCATCAGTGAGCACACATGTTTTTGATACTGATTTCAAAACTGCATTATTCGACTTTAGTTTAAAAGTGAGCAAACACCAGTGATCCGTAGTCAAAATGAAGACATTGTAAAGTTGTTGTCAGAGTGCAAAATAGGCAAACGACTCATTACTACTACCAGCGGCTACTGAACCCACCAGCTGAAAAGATTGAGCTGAGCACAGCATGAAAATGGCTAGAGGATTCAGATTTAGGATCGTGCTTGTAGACTTCTGTATATTCCAGTCATATTCATCACATTGTCATAGCTTTGTCCTCCCCAATCCAGCAAATCAAGGCCTCAAGTGTGTAATAAGCCAAGAACAGCTTGTTCTATTTGAACTCCTATATGCCCAATACTAGGAATGAACACAATGAAGCACTCCTCTAGATCTCTAGTTTCCAATTTCTGGGGATAAAATGGGAAAAATAAGAACCCTTATTGATCAAGTAAACTTATAACTGCAGAAATTTGGCTTATTTGCAAAAGATATTAGAATGGATGAGTACATAGTCCTTTATTTTGAGGCAATGCAAATTTTGGAACTGCCAATTATTATTATTACGCAGAAAACCCAATAGATTTGGGTTCAAACTCTGGGTGCTGTATTCTCCTGGATTCTCCTTCAAAATTAATCCATACTGTGGAAAGAATCAATCAGAGAAATCAAATAAACCACTGGGCAGTAGAATAGTAATGAATTTGTTAGAAATTCCATCAAGTCAGATTTGTTTGTGGAAAATCCATCGTCATATTGCATTTATTGACTTCTTTACTTCCTATGATTTGTTGGCTGAACTGAGAAACTGAGGATTTGGAGCTACTGCGACTGTGAGAGAAGTGTGTTTAATAAATGTACATTCGATGAAATGAAAAATGCAGATAAACTAGAGAAAGGTATGTATAATTTCTTGTGTGATGGAGAAATTTTGGCTGTCAAGTGGAAAGACAACAAATTAGTGTGTCTTGCTTCAAATTATGAAGTTGTTCACCCTCTGCAACACGTGAAGCGAGGCAATCAAAGCCAAAAAAGACATGTGCAAATCCCTCAGCCTGCAGTTATTTTAAACTACAATTCACACATGGGAGGAGTAGATTTGTGGGTTGTTTTATTTTCCAGTATAGGCCAAGATCAAAAAGATTGTACTGGCCTATTCTTTTGAATTGTATAAACACTCTAAGAGTTGCTGCTCGGAGAATGCATTATTTCTCCAAATTACAAGCTGAACCAGCTAGAATTCACAAGACAAATTGTTTCTAGAATGGTGGTGTCCCACTCCTGAAAACCAAGATGAGGCTCCTTTGAACCATTACATTCCAAGCCTGGACTGAACCAGGTCATCACCTCATTCTTGCAGAGAGGCAAGGACATTGCAAAGTGTGCAACTGGAACACCAGACTTATTTATGTAATTTGTTAGGTCTTGGTGCATAGGCACTGCTCCAATGCACTGCATGGCATGTAGATCCTATATCTTTCCAATCTTCCCATTTGGGAACAAATAAAACAAACTCAAGAAAATAAAGAAAATATTTTCTGTCCTTGAATGAGTTATTAATGTTCTAAGTAGTTAGGAAAATAAAGATGATATAAAAGTTGTAGGTTTCAGTGGTGTTGGGACTTAATGAGTTAATGGATATGTATTTGTATCCATTTAATATGTATTTGATTAATTAACACTTTCTTTTGTTACAAATATGAAAAGAAATATTTCTATAAAACAGTCAAAAGTTCACCTTATGAAATTTTGCATCTGCTGAAATTCATCTGCCCCCAAAAATTGTGCACTCCAGACTGCAGCCTATCTGTTCGGTAATCTGGCTCTGATACTCGGAACATATTGTTACATCAACACTTATTAATTTTTTATGAAGTTCAGTTCTAGTGGCAACTTTAGAACAACTCCACTAAACTAATTGTGTATTGTTTCATTGATAATAAAAAAGAAAAATGTATATAACAGAGGGAAAAAAAAAGAAAGTGCTTAGAATTGGAATCATAAAAATATCTATCCTTTCTCTGTTTTAGATTGTGCCTGATATCAGAGTAAAAAATGCTGGGCAATATTCATGTTTAGCAACGAATAAAGTAGGTACTGCAGAACACAATTTTAATGTGGAAGTTTATTGTGAGTGTTCAAAACTATTTTATATTTTTGTTGATAATTTGACCTAAGCATAAAATCTTGTAAGTCTTATCATTTACATTAATCACAGATGCTCCTCACATACCGGAATCAATACCAGTAAATTCAACCCACAAAGTTAAAATGAATCGCCGATTAGTGCTCAAGTGTCCTTTTGAAGGATTCCCAATACCACATATTACATGGTACAAGGTAAAGAGAGCCAATTATTTTATTATTTTTTAATAAATTGTATACCCTTCATTGTTATAAGATATATTTAATTTCTTTTTCAGAATGGCAGCATACTTCAGAATATTATTGATAGTAGCATTCACATATCATCAGATCAAAGACAATTACATATTCTTCATGCCAGAACAGAAGATGCTGGTACATACAAGTGCAAAGCCGAGAATACAGCAGGAAGCAAAGAGCTCTTATTTGAAATTGATGTACAAAGTAAGAATATACTTTGCATTTGTGGTTGGACTTCTGAAGGACTTGATTTCAATTATATTTTCATGAAACACAAATTTTAGTAACATATATAAATAAAAGTTTGGAACTAGTAACAATTTCTTGTTTATAATTTGTTAACTATGAATTTTATCTCTCCAGCAATGGCCCAGTGGACAAATTGGGGTTCCTGGAGTGAATGCACTTCATCTTGTGGCCCAGGAGAACAAGTTCGTACCCGTACATGTGGGGATCCTGAATTAGAAGATCCATTTGCACAGATTGAGTGTTCTGGAATGGCTGAGGAATGGCAAAGCTGTGATCTCGCTGAATGTCAGGTAACAAATAGGTTTCATTGGTTCTACATAGCATCAAATATTTCTTGTCTTGTTTAATAGTGATATTTTATGTGTGTAATTTGAATTGTTCTGGTACGGTTTTTGTGGAACTATTGTTAAACTCAATTAATTCTGGTTTTCACTCTAATAGATAAATGGTGGCTGGAGTGATTGGTCATCATGGACGTCCTGCTCCACTTCTTGTGGTAGAGGAACTCGGAGGCGTTACCGTGATTGTAGTAATCCCATACCTATGTATGGTGGGAAAATCTGCGTAGGTTCTGATGCTCAACAAGAGTATTGTCGTCAAACTCCTTGCCCAATAAATGGGCAGTGGTAAGTTTTGCAAAGGTTCATGCTTCCTCTTAAACAATCCCACTAGTTTCTGTGCTTTGAAAAGTTAATCTTATATTAACTTCAGGTCAGATTGGACTCCTTGGTCAGACTGTTCAGTAACATGCAATAATGGAGTTCAGCATCGCACCAGGCAGTGTAACAATCCCCCACCTTCATATGGAGGTGCCAACTGTTCAGGAAAAGCTCTGGAAATAGTACATTGCAATTCAAAAGAATGTCCACGTATGATACTTTTATTTAATGCTATATATTGTATAAAAAAGCAAACTATATTTGAATAAAAATGTATCCAACTTGTGTTTATAGAGGATGGTCAGTGGACAATTTGGAGTAAATGGTCACCTTGCTCCACTTCATGTGGTCCTGGAAACAAACAGAGAACCAGAGAATGTATTCCACCAAAATATGGAGGCAATGACTGCAAAGGTGAAAATTTGCAGGTGTGTTTACTTATCACAGCTTTCAACAGAAAAGTTTGAAAAATTAATTATACTACTTTCAAGGTATTTATTTTATGAGACATGTACAGACAGCAGAATTACTGATACTTGAGCCACAGAGTACATTTTATATAACATAATAAAAAGAGATAAATAGTAATACAATACACAATAATGTGATTGTGTGGTAGTTCAAAAATTTCAGTGGCATGTGTGTTTCTCATTTTCTTCATATATGGAACACATATGGGAGTTAATATTTCGTCTCATTGAAATACCAGTCTCTCTATTCAGTTCTCCTGTCTTCATTCTCTGTGATCCTTAATCTGATTTTGGTACTCGAAAGATGATGTTGATGACGTTATTATATTTGCCATCACCATGTCCTTTGGGATAATTTCAGTCTACTATTCTGTATGACAATATGTTCTTATTTAGTGATATGACATTACTTATTTGAACTTCTTATCCAGACAACGAAGGCATGGGTGACATAAGTTTTAAAAAATCTTGGTAGTTATGAAATATTGTAATAATCTGGCCGTATTTCAACATGTTGTCTTCATAATATAAATGTGGTTAAATTGAAATTACTAATCCTATGCCATTTACCCCAGAAAATATGGTACATTTCACAGGTTTTATTTCTTCCTTATGTATTTCCATAACTGTAAAGAACTTATATCAAAATATATTTTCCTTTCTAGATTTCCCATTGCACAACTCGTAGCTGTGATAACATACCAAATCTAGCACAATTGCGGGTGAAAGGGACTCTGAACGGTGAAGACTTGGCTGACAGTCTTATTGCGGCCAACATCACTGAAGATGGATCTAAACGTGTTGTTCAAGCATCAATTAATGATATTCTTAAACAACAGGTAGGGCACGTAGGGAGGTTTCAGTTTTATTTGCAAATATTTCCAATCCAAGTTGGACAATTATTTTGAGATATTTTTCTTATTTTTCTACAATTTCCTTATTTGTCTGTTTATATACTCTTGTTCCTCTAGTTCTTTGTTTTTTCAGTTAAATTATTTGCTTAAGAATAAATTTAATTTTTAGGCAGGTTGGTTTCCTTACCTAACTTTTATGCTATCTCCAATATCTTGGAATACAGCTATAGAAAAAGATGAAGCCAATAATGGCTATTCCCTAACTCAAGGTCGTTTCAAACAAGATTCAGTTGTGGAATTTGCTTCTGGTAACATAAATTACTTTTTAATATTTTTTAATATAAATATCAAACTATACACCTTGATATCAATTTTTTTGGGGGTTCTATTTTTTAGGAGAAGGTCTTATGTTAAGACATTTAGGGCGTGGTATAAACGATAATGGAATTCTTGAGGTGGAAATAGAAGTCAATGGTCAAGTTCCCATTATTGAAAGAACAGCCCATGTGGTTATCAATCCTTTTGAAGGTATTCTTACAGTCTCCATTAATATAATAAGGACTTAAATAATTTCTTTCCTCATCTTACCCATCTTAGTGAACTTTCAACCTCCTCCTTTAATCTTTCCACAGAAAATTATGTTCAAACAAGTCCAAATTCACTGTTTGCTTCATCAGCCAGTTCTCTTAATGTGAATGGAGTAAAATTACCGTATTCCTGGAATAACACAGTATCTTATGACTCTCTCCAAGGAACCATGCCGTAAGTTCATGTTGTTTATTTTCCACTGACAACTGTTTTCTTTATTAGTTATTTATTGTGGATCCACATTAGAAACATTTGTCAATAACTAATATTTCTATAAACAGATACTTGGTAGAAAAACTCCAAGCTGAAGAGATTGGGGTGAAATATAATCCAAAGAGTCAAGAAATGACGTCTGTAATGTCTACAGCAATTGGAAGAAAATATAATCAAAATACCTGCCCTGATGGATTTGTATTAGATCCACAGCATATGCACTGTAGAGGTAAGTAATCTTGATGGAGTGTAATTGGCTAGATTAAGTTAAATCTTGGTTGAAAAAACATTTCCAGAAAGTAGCTGATATGTGAGAAACTTAGAAAAAACATTAAATTTTTAACTAGATAAAAATAAATTAACAGGTCACAATTTGTTTATCTCTATTACTTCTTATCAGTTAAGCACAAATCTCTTTTTCCTTTATTTCCTTACTGCTCACAGTAGGTTTTATTGAGGTGAATTCACCGCAGTGTGGCGGTTTGTGTGTATTGAGGATTTTTTTTTCCAATTTGTGAAGAAAATAAGAAAGAACCCAGCAAAGGATGACAATATTCTGTGAGATTCTCAAAACACTTTTTATTTACTTTACAGATATCAATGAATGTTCTGATAAACGTTCAAATCGGTGTCATGTAACACAAATATGTGAAAATTTGTTTGGAACATATCGCTGTTCATGTGAACGTGGCTTTCGATCATCTGCAATAGGAAAACGTTGTGTTGGTGAGAATCATTTGAAAACTATTTCAAGTAGAATGTAAAACAAAAATAATTTATTACTTTGGAGTGTCAGAAAGAATACTTGCATTGGCCATTGGTGTCTTTTCAGATGTCAATGAATGTCTTCAAAGTCCTCCAATCTGCTCTCACCGCTGTCGCAATACACGAGGAAGTTTTAAGTGTCAGTGTCCGCCAGGATATATTCTTTTAGATGATGGACGAACTTGTTCAGGTATTGAAGTTCTGCATACCAGATAATTACAATCTTGTAATGATATTTTTTACACTTTTACTCCTAAACTATTTTTCAACATTGATATTTTGTGTTACATTTCCTTCAAAATGTTTCAGAGGCACAGTATTGGGATTATTCTGATGAGAATGAAGATATAAATTTTGTGAGGCCCATACCTCGTTCGGGCAAAGGTCGTAGATGGCGACCCAGCAGGATGCTTCCATGGACTGTTGCAGATGAACAATATTCTTGCCCTTCTGGTTATGAAGTACTTAATGGAGTATGCCATGGTAAAGTTAAATACATTTTCTCTTAAAATATTTATTAGAGGGTCAATTAAAACATGCACACTATTGTAATAGTTGTATTTGGTTGATCAATACTTACTTAATAAGAACAAAAAAATTTAATGCAGAATATCATCTTGGGATGGCACTTTCCTTGCACTTCTAATTGTGGGTATTCAGACCCAGACCTCAAGGGATATTCCCTGATGTGGCAAGATGCCATGTGGAGACAGGTGGCACACTGAGCCAGGTATATGCTACAGCTGAGACACATACAGTCCCATTCCCTTCACCTGTGAAAGAGTGTGTCTGCATTCAACATTGGCTCCGTGTTGAAGGGTTAAGTTCAAATACTGGTATTAACACCTTTTCTGTACAGGAAACATCTTGATAGGTACCTTGTTTCAATGGCAGTTACCTCAATGACACAATGAGAGTATTTGAACAATTTGTTTCTTCAGTTAGGTATTCCATGTAAAATTCTGAGTTATGGCTAAGTCGGACAGGCCCCAATATATGCAGTTTTTATTGGAACTTGTAATGAGTTTTTTTTTATATATGTCCTAAGTAGACTTAAAATTCCTAGTTTTTTCCCCAAACTTTTTATTGCATGTTTTATAGCAGTTTTATTAAAGTTGTAACACATTTCATATAAATTCTTTTTCTCTAAAATCAAAACAATATGCATTGTTTTTGGTTTCTAAACTTTGCTTAACTTTACACAAGTATTCAAATAAAGTTCTGTACATATTTTAGACAGTCATGTTTATTAATCACTAAAACATATTAATGTTCACATTACATCACAGGACAATGTTGTTGATGGTGACGTTTTGCAGGTATTTTTCCCTCATCATCACGCTATTGACAATGTTATGAACTAAAACAGAATATAATACATTGGAGTCAGTTTGTACATTTAAAATTACAATAAACCCATAATTGTAAATATGTAATAAAATTAACATGGGGATTTTAAAACCAACTGAAGGTTGTTCGTTATAGTCAATAACATTAAATATAAAGACCTGTTAGCCAGAACAAAGAATAAACGTACAAAGAATAAAGTGGTTAAAGAACATATTATGTCAATCAAATTATCAAACTATAAAACATCTTGATATGAAATAACTAGAAATTTGACATTGAATAAATAAAATGATTACAATGGAATAAATTATAAGAAACTTACATTGAGCTGTCAATCTATTACAAATCTATCAATCTATTAGTATCATAGTTATGTGGTGAGTTACAAATCACCATCAGAATAAATTGCCTATAAATAATGTATTAAATTAGTTTACTAAAAATGACAAACGAAGGATAAACGTTTAAGGGACATTAACATGATGTACTAACAAAGTTATCCAAATGTGAAGGAAATGCCCATTACAAGAACAACAGACTTACATAAAACAGGGAACCGTTTTCACCCACTGTGTAGAACATCATGTAAAGTTCAATTCTCAGGTTGTTTTCTACTACATAATGCATAGGGACATGACTAAATCATGATAGGTCAAGTAGGTGAATGAACAAGTTTGATAGGTGGATGGGGTACATGGGGAGTAGGGCCGTTGTGAATGAACAATTGACGTGCCCGACTTCTGAGAAAGTATGAATATAAAATATCATTAACTTCATTATTATTTGGACTGATGGGAATATTCAAAATTTTATAAAGGATTAGATAGTGAATGAGAGGTGGGTTCTCTCACCTCTTGAGAAACACCAAAATGGAAATCTTGATCATTTTGAAATCGGTCTCACTTTAGTAAATTTTGTTGCACATTCTGAGAAATCCTGTCAATTTCAATTGTCTGAGCAACTTGCTCATAGTATCTCTTGCATTGTACCAAGATAGAATCATAATTTTTATGTAGACTCTCACATTCCATATTCATGTTCGTACCATATTAATATAGGAATTGTAGAACAAATCCATCATGCAAGTCAGGTTTAACTGTCAATATGCACTGATTTTGAAAATCCATAGAATGAACACTATCAAATCTATGTGCAGTAACTGAATTTTGTCGTTCTAATGGTAATTTTATATTGTTTAAATGCTCCTTAATTCTATGAGCAAGTCTTCTGCAAGTCTACCCCCCATAAATTAAATTGCAATTGGAATACCTCATAGAATAAACTGTGTTAAGTTTATTCAAAAAAGGAAATGTATACTTAACATTTCTGATGGCATTGGACTTATTTAGAACATAATTGACAAAGTGTAATTGAGTGAGATGGGACTGCAAATATTTCTTTATCCGATTGTTAATATTATGAATATAAGGTAAAATGAAACTGATATTTTGCTTATTTTCATTATACGGGTCAAGTTTTCTCATTAAATTATTAGACTGCAAATAGGATGCCCTTACCATACAACATAATTTCTGCACCACAAACTTGACTACAAAACTAATCAGATACAAATTTCTAATCAGTAACAAAAATATTTTTTTTAAATTACCGGAATGAAAACATCTGTGTGACAATGAAAATACACTATCAACTAAGTTCTTAATCAAACTCAACATGAGAAGGGTGATTAGAGAAATAGTTAAGAACAATGTCTGCATATGTAGGCTTTGTGTACCAGTTAGTAACAGTGGTCTGGGTATCTAAAAATCATGAAATCCAAAAAATTAATTTTGAACACCTTCTCCTCTTCTAAAGTGAACTGCAGAATAGGCTGATGTGAATTGTGTGTCACCTACCATGGAAATTCTATCACCTTCCACAACAAACAACATATCATGCCTCCTTTAGAAATAACTTCAAGTTTCCAGCCTTCTCATAAAAAATTCACAGAGTATTGAGCTTTAGACCCCTCCTATAGGACATCCATCTCTCTAGCAATATATAATATCATTAAAGCAGAAATATATGTTACTTAAAATCAGTCTGATAGCTATCATCATTTCATATTTGGGGATACAGTTGGAATTGTACTCAATCTCAGAGGGTAAATTTTCTTCCAAGGTTAACATTATCAGATGGTGAGGAATAGGTGGATATATTTGGATTATACCTAATGAAATTAAGACATGTCGTGAATTGAGTTTTAAAACACATAGTTTTTTCACAACATTATGGCTATTTTGCGCAGTGTAGTCATAATTTTTATATAAGAACCCCTTTAAGACATTCATGAATTCAGAAACTTTATATTCTGGTGAATCAAAACTTGATATGACAGGTCTAAATGGAACAAAAGGTTTATGTACATTGGCAAAGCCGTAAACTCTGTTAAGGGTGGGAACAGTTAGATAAATGTTATAAAAGACTGAACCTTGTATAAACTTATTTACATGCCATCTCTTAATGAAATCTTATAATTTCAACATAAATTGTATATCAGATTTTATATCATATTGCTGTTCTAGTTCATGACATTGTCACTAGCCTGATGGGGAAAAAATACCTCAGAAACGTCACCATCAACATCATTGTCCTGTGATGTAATGTGAATATTAATATGTTTTAGTGATTAATAAATATGACTGTCTATGATATAAATGGAACTTTATTTGAATATTTGTGTAATCAACAAAAGACAATCCTTAGGTCTACCAGTTATAATTTTTACTGTTTTTTTACTAATAAATCAAATCAAACTGATAATAATAAAAGCTATAAATTATACAATATACTACATTTTTTATTGAACTGCCTGTCTTTTTGCCAAAGAAAAATTAATTATGAGGCTCTAATTCACTGATTGGGATCAGTGAATTGTAGTGGTACAACAATACAAGCTTTGCTTCAAAACATTCTGCTGAGCCACTGTAGAGTGAAATTGAATTGTTGTAATAAATATTGATTCATAATATTCAAACCATTGCCCTGCAACAGCCCCCAGTACATTTCATTTTCAACTGTTCTTTTACAAAAGGGAAGAAAAATTATTGAATTTTTTTTTCAGATGTAGATGAATGCAAAAATCCCAATATCTGTTCTCAAAACGAAACCTGTCTCAATATGAAAGGAAGTTTCCGTTGCTTGGAAACACCATGCCCTGAACACTATGAAAGAAATTCTGAAACAGGTTACTGTCAGAAGTATTGTGATGAAAATCCTTGTGAAGATGGAGCACTTCTTAGTCAAACAATTACCTACATGGTAGTTGTTCCAGAGGAAGAAGTAGTACATCGTTACCAGGACTTAGTGCAGTTGTCAGTTCGTGGTGATAATGGTCATCAACTAGCGCATACTCGCTATCGTATAACTGAAAATGAGACAGGTATTTTATCTAGTTTTACTAATTTGTTTGCTTATTAATTAGAATTTAACATAGGAATTTTACAAAATTAAGGCCTAATTTTGTAATGTTCAAATAACCCTTTTAATTCATATGTTCTCTTTTTTCTCCAAGGAAAACCTTTTAGGGTGAGATTTGAAAATGGACAGGGTGTTCTTTACTCCTTAAAATCATTACCCTCTGGAAGAATTCACAGGTGAGTGATATATAAGTAATAAACCGACTACTACTTCTTACATACAAATCTATGAGAATTATTTTAATAAGCTATGTATAAAATCCTATTATTTCCCTTTCAGAGTTGTCGTTCTTGCGTTATCATATGATGAAAGTGAAACTAATATCTTATATACAACAAAATTCATCATATTTATTCATTTACCTGATGGTTGAGGAATAAAAGAATATTTTAAATGATTCTGTCATGTTTAGTATTTATATTAACAAAGAAGAAAACACAAGAAATTGATGTCAATTTAAATTATAACAATTTATACATATTTATTAATTAGAATTATTATGTAAAATAATTAACTTTAGAAAAACATTTTAAGTGGTTAAGGGGAGTCATAAAGAAAAAATCTGGATTTTTGACATTTTTGGACTTAAACATTTTTTAAATTTTTAGTTTTCTGAATAAAATGACATACACAGCACTGTAAAATATAAATCTATCCCTTTTTTCTTCTTCTTCACTACACATCAAAATGACAGTCATTTTGGTTCCAAACCTCTTATTTACATTAAATCTTTTGAACAAATTTATCTAGAAGGCTCTGGTTGTCTCTAGGTCCTACATTTCTTTCTTTAATATTGCTTACACTGCAAACCTTTATCTTTTATGACTATAGATGTGGCAAATACATTTCATTTACTTGTTACAATAACGAGGTGACTTGGAAGAAGAAGGAATTTCAATGCAGATGATGTGAAAAATTACGTTTTGGAACACGTTCCTCTCAAGAACTACTCAAGTGATAATTTAAAATTTTTTGATGGTTTGTTTTATTGGAGTCAATTCAGTAATAATTAATATTTGGTAACAAAACAAGAACAGTAAAATGAGAACACACTTCATGATTTCTGCTTAAAAGAAGAGAAATAAAATTACAAATTTTGACTTTTACTTCAAATATGCTACCCATTACAAAAAACTATTCTATGTAAACTATGTAAATCTGCTTGCAGTTACTTCAAATTCTACCAAGTTCCTCCTAAAATTTTACAACAATTTTTACATTTGATTACGTTGAATAGATTTTGAGATAATGAGTCAAATGTACAGCCAAATGAACATGGGAGAGATAGGGTTTTATGTCTCCTCTTAATATTTCTAAAACAATATTTTGTAACCCTGTTTGCACCTCAATTTCTAAATCATATACCAACAAATATACTCAGAAATATGTCGTAATTGTGACTTCAACCCCAAAATGTCGCAGACAATAGATGATTGATAACAAACCATATAACAACAGATTTTATTTCAACATAAAATGTTTTAACTATCATTTATTTAATAAACATTTAAAACTTGTCAGGAATTTTGCGTTCCATGTATTACTAGTCAATAAATTGTGAGTTATTACTGTTCTTGTAATGACCATGAAATTGCACATTCAAGTGATTTTGAATGTAATGAAATAATAGTAAAGTAAAGAGTAATATCTGACTTTTTTTTAAAACAAAACAATTTTCTGAAACCAATACTCCCTCCTGTTATATTTCCTTTTCTACTTAACAAAATGAAAAAAGAAAATGGCGACAGGAATATATATATATATATTTTGAAGCCAGAAAAAGTGGTGGACCAAATGTCAAAAATGGAAAACCATAGAATCTACTTTACTAATTTCCGATGCATGCAGAATTTGAAAAAAATGTAAGTTGCCTATGGCTTTTAAAAGATGTCTGAGGTTTTGTAATATATCCATGTACTTGAAGAAACTCCAAAGACTATGAAACAGTTTCAATTTTTTACTGAAAAATGCAAATATTTTATTGTATTATTCCTCGTGTTCTTATATTGCACATACTGGCTGAATTCTCATACTCATGCGTCTCTGCTTACAATGTGGCTGATGTCATGTGACAGCAAGAATACAAAGAAGAGGCTGCCCACCATTATTTGTGCTGTTCACGTTATGGAACAGAAACTATTTTTATATTTTTTGGTTATAAGGAACTGTTGTACTGTGTATCCATTTATACTATATTATGTTATTGCAGTATTTGTGAAGACAGTTTTTATTATAATATTTAATTTATTGTAGTGATATACAAAAGTATATTACTTGTTCTTGAGCCAACTGTTTGATACAGTTTAGAAAAACATTTTGTGTGGTGTTGTTCAGTATCATTTTTGGTACTGCATGACAATATTTGTATTCTAAAAGTCTAGAAGACTTAATTTGTAATATATTGCTGATATATAATTAAATAATTTTTAGTTAGTAAATTGATGTCGGGTTTTTTTATGTAAATTCTAGATGTTCACATCTGTATAATGGAATGAAAAATTTATTATATTACATCTGTATCATAGTTTGTCTTTGAATTCAATGATTTTAATTACAAACTATTATAATGTTTTAGAAAACGACTTCTCAAGCCCCCACTTGACACCCCCCCCCAAATAGATAAAAATGTAAAACAACCACTTTGAACTATGTTGACTATCTTCTTTCAAAACCTATTAAATTAACAGCAAAAGTATTAATCAAGTTGAAAAATGGCTTTGGGATTTCAAATACTTGACAAAGTCAACCGTTGGCTTTCAGTCTTTATTTTCTTCACCACTGTTTTGACAACTACACCAAGGTAAGTTAAGCAAATTATAACTAGTCAAATACATTAAAACAACATTTTGAATTAAAACACAGATTTCTTCAACTGCAATTTAGACTTAACTCTAACAAGTTACAAAGGAACCAGTGGTATAACATTCAAGCTCACAAGGCCCTGATACAACATGGCCTGTTTTTAAGGATATTTTTATTATTTATGGTACTAACACTACTTGTGTTTGCTATACAGTTTCATAAAGGGCGCCTGGATAAAAGGTTTTTGAGTGGGCAGACACTCATTGAGTTATGCTAGTGAAAGGAACAGAAACCAAAGTTATTTCTAAATGAGTAGGCTTGTAAGAAACAAAAATATAGGATACAAACATAAGACAATAACTATACCTAACAAAATTCTAAAAAAAGTTTCTAAAAATTTGGCTATTTTAAATACTTCAGTTGTTTCCTCAGATCTCTTGAAAATGATGTTGCACAAATTCTCTGCTTAACTATATGTATGACACACACCTACATTAAGTGAATTTTAAATTTGAATGACCCTGCAATGTGATGAAGTGTCATGTGTCAATGTATAAAAACATATTTAATTTATGAAATTAAAAAAATATTCACTCTTCATTTACTCTAAAAATCTCTAGGTATATCCTCATCCGATGTTATTATATACAAGATATAAAACAAAGAACCTAAATAAAATAATCCTTAAAATGTTAATAAACTTGCATTTTCTCAATGAGGGCACAGACTGTTATTATTATGTTAAGTAATTTGATAAGTTCAGAAATGAAATTAATTAAATTTGTAAATTTTATTATTAATATATTTGCATTTAAATATTTTAGTCAAACCAGTTGACAAGGTGAAATGTGTAAAATTTCTCACTCGAGATAACATTTAAGCTTCCAGGTGTAAAGAGATTCAACAGTGATAAACCTAGAGGCTCAAAAATACTCTTGAGATATGTAGGACTACGCTCTGCTTTATCAGTTATATAACATCTTAAGATATAAACATTCATTTCACATAAACAGATGTTAGAAATTGTTAGGTAATATTGTAAACAGCGGTAGCTTATCTGCAACATCTTGGGGAATACAGATTTACAGAGCAACAACTAAAAAAACAAACAAAAAAAACATGAAAAGTATACCCAAAGCTTGTGAAATTTGACAGCAGACAAGAATGTTAGTTTTTTTCTTGGTTAAAAAAATTGTACAAAGTCAAAACTTGAAATAAAAATAAGTGCTTTTTCTTTGGTAATTTCCATGAGGTGCTCTCTGGCTCGATCATAAGGTGACCTTGAGCGACCCTTCAACGAGATTGCGTGGCTGACTGTGACAACTGATATTCGCCGAACAAGTGTTCATCAGTCTGCCGGCCAGCCAGTAGGCCTTCTCCAACGAGGGCTATCAGTAGAAGGAAACGTTTGACTTCGCTGTTTGAAGGGCGGGCAAGTAAAGAATATTATTATATGCAAGATGCAAAAATAATTTGTTGTAAGAAGTTAAAACTTACTTTACTGCATTGTAGGACCATGTCTTCGGCTACCGTTGAGGTTGTTTCACGCAAAGCAATTCTGGGAGAAGGGCCTCATTGGGATGAAGTTGAAAACGTTCTTTATTTTGTTGATATCAAGGGGAAAGAAGTTAGAAGATACGATCCATCAAGTAAAACAGAAACCGCTGTCAAAATAGGTGAGTTTAACATACCAAAAGAACCGGTAATTTGTGTCGTTCGCTGCGAAAAATACGATGGGTAGTGTCGGTTCTGGACAGAATTTTAAGTAGTACTACAACGCACTGACAAATATTTATTAGCGTAGAAAAACGGAATAGAATTCCAACGTCCGTTTTGAAGACGCGCTTATGCATGGTATGTTTAGTTCAGGTTATGTGTAGTAGTGGGGGCAGGGCAGGGCCAGTGTCAGTGTCAGTGTGCGTGCTCCTAATGACAACATTGTGCACATTTTCTTGAGCCCCGGAATCCCTACCCCCACCCATTTGCCAACATATTAGTTCAATAGTTTATAATGGTTAAGAATAAAGGGTAGCAACGAAAGTTGTAGGCACAGATGTTCGCTCATTTGTATAGAAACTATTTTGCACCGAAAAATGAATTACGAAGGTGATATATAATGTAATATTTTATTGAGTCACATACTCAATCGTGTTTGAGTCAGTATAATATCTTAGGTAGAGAGAGTGAAGTTACATTACTATGAAATTCCTTTTGTCAAAATAACCAAAGTTCCCACTTCTCTCGCAACTATCGAAGCGAGAGCTCAAGAACACGTACGCAGATAATACTTTGCAGGTATTTTAGGTACTATAGGCAATATTTACAAATGTGTATATACATAATATATTTTATTATTTTCGACCATTAACTCCGCCTAAATCGCGAATCGGCCGTACTCGGGTATTAGCGATCAGGCGCCACGAACTCGCTGATATTAACATATCAAGAGAGTTTCTGACACCTGCGCGGGATCGACGTCGCGACCTCCCAGGCTT